CATGCAGGATTTCTCCTAATCGAATCGATACGCAGGAGCATGCTCTATGTAATTGTATGAATAATTATTGAAAAACAAGTTGAGCAAATACATTCTATTATGGAGTCAAATGCTCACTAATCCCATTTTTTGAAAAAAATGTTAAGCCAGTATTTAATATTCTGAATTGTGGAAGGATTTTTTTTATACACGCTGAATCAGATTATTTGAAGATATTTCCCGATCACGACAAGGAACACACAGCGGGTGTGAGCGATCGGCAGGGGGTGTATATTGCTCCGTGGCACCTGATCCCACCTTTGATTTTCATGAGGTATGTGTTTGCCCTATTCCTGATTTTTACTTCTTACCTCAACACTATTTATTGCCATTCGATTTTTTCATGAATTATTTGAATTTAACAATGCAAATCACTCAAAATTGAATTTAAATCTGCGCACCAAGTAAATAATAAAAATTCAAGATTTATGGGGAAACTATTTTTTGTGTTCGAAGGATACTTTAATAAAAAGTTCTTCAGATCTACACATTTGTTACATTTAATATGTTGAAACTAGTTACTCATAGAAAACATTTCGTATTTTATGCTAGAATATAAAATATGGGTTGAAAGTATATTTTGAAATAAAGTTTACATGTTCACTCAACAGACTTTGTCAGGAAATGAAAAAAATATTAAAGAAGATAAAATTTACACTGTTTCATGTTCGAAAATCGCATACATCTTATTGTATTTTGAACAATAGGCCTATCCCAGATTTTACATCACTAATTCCAACTTTCTTTCATTATTTTTAACTATATAAGTCTTCCAACCTATCGTCACTAAGTGTCAAAAAATGTTTGATACAAGAAAATATTATCTTAATGAATATTATTTAACACTTTAAAAAAAAAAACTGAAATAAGATTGTATTTATTGCCATAATTACATAAAATATATAAAGATAACAAAGAGTATTCGAGCTGAAAAGGCCATTAAAGAATACAGAGTTTAAAATAGAGCAAACACGGACATCTGAACCATCAAAGGTTAGGATCAGGTGCCATGGAGGAGTGAGCATCCCCCGCCGCCCGTCACATCCGCCGTGTGCTCCATCCCATGATCGGGAAAGAGCTTACGAAATTAATGATGACTTTAAACGACACTGCTGATATTCTTGTTTTATCAACTTGTTTGTCGATAACTTACCATGTTTTCGAAGTTGTTTATATGTAGAGCATGCACTTGTGTATCCAATGAACTGAGAGATAAAATATAAACCCCGAATGTAGTTGATGAATTGTAAGGGAAGTTGACGATTGAAAAGTTAAAGTCGTCGCGTTTATCATAAAGATTGGTTGATAGATTACCATTAATGATTTTTCTAACAAAATACCCAGCTGCTCTTTCAATTCAAATGGAACTCGTAAATTTACTTACCTTGTCATTGGCAATTTTCAAAATTACTTTAAAATCATTCTGATTGTACACACAAGTGCTCTAAGGTGATATTTTAAAGATGCTCGAGTTTCTGATTGACAATTTCTATGTAGTATTTGGAGACTATGTCCTCCAACAATCTATTTGAATTCCCATGGGTACCAATTGCACCCCATTATTAATAAGAAAACCCATTTTTGTACCCATGCAGATGAAGCAAAATTTGTTTCAAATCTTTTACGTGAAAAGAAGAAAACACTTTCTTTGGCCTTCCACTCGATATTCAGATATATCGGTGACGTATTTCATATTAATAATAGTCATTACCATTCTTATGTTGACACGATATATCCCGGTGAACTTGAAATAAAAGATACCCCAGAGCCTGACACATCTGTTTCATTTCTGGATACTTTACAAGAAAAAGACGTTAATGGTTATCTAATAACAAAGCTTTATGATAACTTTTCAATCGTCAACTTCCCTTACTTATATAGCAATATACCTTGTCACCTGCATACGGAATTATTTCTCTCAGTTGATTCGATACAGAAGAACATGTTATAAATATGAACAATTTCTAAAACGAGGCAAGTTATTGACATACAAGTTGATGAAGGAAGAATATCATCAGTCTTGTTTACAATTTCTGAAGCGAGAGACATTATTGACAAACAGACTGACTAAACAAGAATTTCAGCAGTCTCGTTTAAAGTCATCATTTTGTTAATTCCATGATCAATAAAATGACCTTGTCAGCAAATATAATTTATCATTGAGTCAAATGTTGCGTTGTTGACTGACATTTTTCTTTCTAATTGTTAGGCCATTATTTACACACTAAGTTGTAAAATTTTCCGTTTTATCCCCAACATGACAAGGAACACACGGCGGGTGTGCCCGGTTGTCAGGGGATGCTCATTCCCCAATGGCACCTGATCCCACCTCTAGATCTGATTTTTTTTGGAGGTCCATATTTTCTCTGCTCAAATTTTGTATTATAGCTTGATGGACTTTTGAGCTTGAATACTGTTCATACATAGTTTACGCTTTATAAACCGCGAAGCGGTTTATAAGAAAGCGTAAACTGCCCCAAGTTTTGTTATATCGGATAACTTAAGTTGAAATAAGCTTCATTCGTTAAATAATTTAATTTTAGTTGTAACACGTCATTTGATTCGGATAACATAAGTTGAAATAGGCCTCATTCCTTATAATTTAATTTCAGTCTAGACAATGAGACAATATTTCCTCCAGAAAATGGCTTCAAACTGAGCATTATTTTAAAAGTAACGTCAAGTGGAGTAAAACGTTATTTGACGTAACTCATTGTGACGTAGGCAACCTATGTTATACAAAATTGATAAAATCTTTTATCCAATCAAATGACGTGTTACAACTAACAAATTCTTATAACATAACTTGCCTACGTCACAATGAGTTACGTCAAAAACGTATTACTCCGCTTGACGTTACTTTTAAAATAATGCTCAGTTTGAAGCCATTTTCTGGAGGAAATATTGTCTCATTGTATAGACTGAAATTAAATTATAAGGAATGAAGCCTATTTCAACTTATGTTATCTGAATCAAATACGTGTTACAACTAAAATTAAATTATATAGTAATTACGTAAAAATAAGTAATAGAACGTATGTTACCGCCTCTGTGGATGAAATGACCCCAAATTTTCTTTGCGATTTTGAATCATGCTATATGAGTACCAATATCCTCTTAAGAATCTTCGAGTGACATATCCTAACAATAGAAAAAATATCTTAAAGTACATTCTATACATAAATTCCGTTTTACATTTAATGAAATAAATTACAGAAATATTTTTTCAAACAAACAAACAACAACAACAATCCTTTATTTTCTGATTGTTTCAAGTTAAAGCATGCCAATGATCATACCTGTCGATAGGTGTCCAAGTTTCAAGAAGGAAAAAATTTTTTCGTAGACATGGAATCTGAAGAGAGATTTTTTTAAAGGTAGTAATGAATAAGTATATTTTTACCACCATTAAAGCATATTACAACTTCGTAATTGACATAAACATTGGACTTTTTCATGCAAAGTTCATAATTTTCGTAAATTGACATGATTTTTATTTTTTTTTTATTTTTAAGGTATAGTAAATTTATAACCTTTTCTGTTAGATTTGGACTCTTTACTGTTTAATTGCATTATAAGCCTTGTAATCATTGTATTTAATGTGTTTTACAGAAGAGACTAAATGGTTCATTGACTTTTTAATACCGGTTTTTGATTAAACAAGCTCTGTCATTAGATAAAAAATATACCTTCAATAAACACCATGTCCATTTAGATCCGAAAAAAGCAGAATTAGTATGGGCGTATTGCTGCAGAAAAATCTGTAAGTAAGAAGATGGCCGAACAAGGCGAGCAAAATGTCAACAGTGCGACAAATTAGACAGTGAAAATTAATTTGTCTTGTCTTAAAAATCATTACTTTGATATTTTATTTAATATTAACGTATATGTGATGTTAAGTCTGTACAATTCGAATCAAAACCCACAGATATTGAAATTATTTGTCTACAGAAATGGCAAACATACAACAAAGAAGGCCATTATGATCAATTCTTCACACCCTAAAGCAAATTTTCCACACTATTGAGCTAAACATTTTATTTTGCATTCTTTGGTGAACAAATATATGAGGCAGAGATCGACTTCAATTTAATCACAAATTTCTTATCTTCTTAAAGAAATAATTGATGTCCAGTTAACTTACCTTAAATACTGTAGACGTACTTTTTTTCACGGGGTCATAATTCCGCGGAATCTCAATTTCTGTTTAATCCACGGGTAGAAAATTACGCGGATTTCTTAGACTGTCACTATATGCCTTACATTTATATTAAGTACGCTTGGATAAATTTCCGCGGAAAATTTGTGACCGCGTATACATAGCGTAAATTAATAGCACTCGGAAAAAGTACTTCTACAGTACTTAATTCTTAATTCAAATACATGACTTTTAAAATACGTTAAAAAAAAAGTAAAAAGGCATTTTGCACGTCTTGTTCGCCAATCTCTCAATTTGTGTATTTATAAATTCACACATAAAAAAGATAGTATAAGGTTCTCATTCAAACATTTATTGTACTTAAACGATATTTAAAAATCGAAAAGAAAGACTACAGCATAACAATTTAAAAATATATATTTATATATATTAATAATAAAGAGGAATGGATTCTCAAAGCAACAACAGAACATATCAAAACTTACATCTTCAAGGATCCTTCCTTTACCAAAAGTCCTAAGACTGGACGTATGTGACGTTCTACAGGGTGTCCGATAAAAGTTCATCACAAGCCGCTCCTCGTGTGATGCATCGTAAGCAATTCCGTTATGTAATCGTTATATTAGTGTGACCAAATTAGAACCTTTTTAATTCCAAAAAATTCAAATCGTTTGATGTGATCCCGTTAACGATCTTGTAAAACATGTAAAAATTGACATTTCTCACACGTAGTGCACAAATGTGCCATATTTCCGGTCGTCCGAGACAGGAAGGATTTGGTATAAAAGACGCCAGTCTTAATCAGATTCGTCACTGAACCATCAAGTTCCATCACCTCAATATCTAACCCGACTCAATTGGTCCTTCAAGGTAAGTTTATACTTCTCCGACTGACGATTTATCTGGGAAAGAAGGATAAAATCTTTTCCGTTTTGCAGAAATAAAATTCTTAAAAATTAATAAATGCATATACATGTAAAAGGCAATTAAGACTCATCGTAATACATTGGTTGAAAAAGAACAATTCTACCCAGACCAAAGACAAATGCACAAATATTAAGAACTTCATTTAATTTGATGTAAGCGTTTGTTGTTTCTTTCTGATTGTAGATGGCTTTCTTTAACCTGGTCTGTTTGGCACTTTTGGTTTCTGCAAATGCAGCCAGTTATGGAAAGCGTCCGACTCCAGAAATGGGTAACTTGATGGGATCAATGATGGAGAATGGAAACGCAGGCATGAACAATGGAAACGCAGGCATGAACAATGGAATGAACGGCATGAACAATGGCATGAAAATGATGACCATGGACATGGCCAACAGCAAAGGAATGGATAAAATGACTGTACCAATGCCAGAGCCCATGAACATGGGAAATAACAACAATATGGACATGATGCCCATGCCCATGAATATGGAAAATAACAAAGGAACCGAAATGATGCCAATGCCCATGAATATGGGTAATAACAATGCAATGAACATGATGAATATGGAAAATAACATGAATGAAATGAAACCTGTTAACATGCCTAATGGAAAAGAAATGAACATGCCAATGAATATGAATGCCATTAACAACATGATGAATATGAAAAAAGCAATGGATATTGGCAACATGATGAATGACATGATGAACATGAAGAAGGCAATGGAAATGGGTAAAGCAATGAAGAACGCTATGGAAATGGCTAAAATGATGGAGATGGCTAATGCTGTGAACATGATGAAAAATAGTATGGATATGATGAATATGGACACGATGAACAACATGAACATGGATAATAAACCAATGGAAATGAACATGAATAATGTCATGGACATGATGAACATGATGCCCAATGATAAAATGGATATGATGAACGCAATGCCAATGAACAAAAACGCAATGAACATGAACAACGGCCCTGACATGATGAACGCAATGCCAATGAACAAAAACGCAATAAACATGAACAACGGCCCTGACATGATGAACGCTATGCCCATGAACAAAAATGCAATGAACATGAACAACGTAATGGACATGATGAACGCTATGTCAATGGATAAAAATGCAATGAATATGAACAACGGCCCTGACATGATGAACGCTATGCCCATGAACAAAAACGCAATGAATATGAACAACGGCCCTGAAATGATGAATGAAATGCCCATGAATGCAATGAACATGAACAACGTAATGGACATGATGAACGCTATGTCAATGAACAAAAACGCAATGAACATGAACAACGGCCCTGACATGATGAATGCAATGTCCATGAATAAAAATGCAATGAACATGATGAACGCAATGTCCATGAACAAAAATGAAATGAACATGAACAACGGCCCTGACATGATGAATGCAATGAATATGAATAAAAACGCAATGAACATGAAAAACGTAATGGATATGATGAACGCAATGCCCATGAATAAAAACGCAATGAACATGAACAACGGCCCTGACATGATGAACGCTATGCCCATGAATAAAAATGCAATGAACATGAACAACGTAATGGATATGATGAACGCAATGCCTATGAATAAAAACGCAATGAACATGAACAACAACATGAACATGATGAACGCTATGCCCATGGATAAGAACGCAATGAACATGAACAAAATGATGCCTCCTTCACCAAAATACGTAAGTTTTAATATTGCTGTTATGCATTAGAGATGTTTGCCAAGTTTGAATCAATGCAAAGCAGATGATATCCTTCACAGGTATACTTTTAAACTAATTACAATACAAATTCATTTCAGATTTAAACTTTTAAAATTTTGAGGGATTCAGGAAGAAACAGTAAGTATTCAATCATTTATACCATGATACTAGTACATATAGAGATTTAAATTTGCTTTTAGTCTTCAACACATTAGGTTTCTCAGTCATCTAAGTACGTTAAAAAATTTTGTATTCATTTTATCATATTGCAAAACACTACACTGTAAAATAAACATATATCCTTCATTTATATGGGACTAAATTCATCAAAAATGTAAATCCGATCTTACAGCATATTATTTTCATTTTGTATTATTTTTAAAGGTTTTTAACTTTAAGGGACAAGATGTATTAAAGTGAGTATGCGTACAATTTCATTTTTTTTTCTGTAGGACTGGAAAACAAGGATTTTTTCGTCTTTCGTTTCCCATGTAATTCCCAGGAAATGGCTCTACTGAATGCAGGGATGTAACTTATATTGCAAATAAAACGTAAAAATCATGTTGATGAAGTTATTTTTCACAACTTTGTATCCGAGAATCATTTCTCCTTCTTCCGAAAGCATCATAAAAAAACAGACATTTTCAATAGTTCATGTGTGCAGACGGACGATAAATAGAATATATAAATAGAAAGGCTTTCAGGATTTGTTTTTTAAAGGAACTTTTTTGATTTTTATTCCTCGATAGAATGTAAAAGTATGAAGACCAAGGAGTGAAAAAGTATTTGATTCAGTGGCATTTTTTTTCAAAAATAGAAAATATTTTTAAGGATGTCAACGAACAATTGAATTTTTTAGTATTCTTATAAAAATAAAAAGTTATCCATATTATACTTTTATGTAAATTACTTGAATCTGAAAGACATATTACCCGTAAATCTTTACCGTGATACGAGGCAACATGCACATTTTGTATATATGGCTATAATAATAAATATTGCATGTAAGAACATTGAAAATGCTTATATATATGATGGCAGACTCACATTTTGAAAAGCAGACATTCTTTGTTGCGCGAACTGTGCAAATCTACCGTAAAATTTAACGGATGGCAGAATTGACATAAAAAATCTCTCATCAAGGCCATGGTTTCAAAAAGGATCAATCATAGATACGTAAATAACGCATTCAACTGTTGCTAATGAACATACAACTGAAAACGAAATGCCGTAAGCTGCCGAGCGTGATTTCATGACTGGATGCTATAAATAGCTGACGCTGGAGCCTGGTTTTATCTGTGGGATCATTGATCTAGTATTTGTTTATTAGTTGAGGCAATGATGGAAGGAACCTCAGCATCCTTCCTTGTTTCGTCCTTTCCTGTTTGATAAAAAAAATCCTGGGGGTATATTTTTGTCGATGGCGCGAGTACAAAATGAGGATGGTGATCGCTATTCGGATGTGGATATTGAGAGTATTCTAGCGCGGGTAGAACGGAGGGGACCACTAACGTTAGCCAGGAAGCGATCTCTATTCAGGGGTAAGTTCTTCTTCAAAGACTTGGCAAGGTCGGAAATAACAGGTGTTGCTCAGCGCTCGTCCAGAACCTAGTTTTTTCCTCTCAATTTTTCCATTACTATCGATATTTTTTTATATTGCTCTCTAAAAGTGTTTAGAGGTCGTTCAAGTAGGTCGTGTAGTTAACTTCGAAGTTCCTCAAAAGCTCTGTTAATAATAATATTAACATGATTAAGTGTAAAGATGAATATCAAATGCAATAGTTTTTTTAACATGAATTAACGAACTTTATGTCATTTTATATGCAATATTGATATTTTTTGAACGATCATTTATATAAACTCAATCTGCAAAAGTTTTACTTCCGTTCTGCTAAAGTAAGGTATTCTTGAAAGTATAAAAATTCTTTTATTTTTCTACTTGATCCAAAAATTGACCACATTTATGTATAGTTCTAATACGTTTATACTCCCATGAACAATGTTCCCAAGCATCTACATTGTCAAATATTACT